TGTCTCTTCCTTTACCCTATTGATTTTATATTTCTTATTTTAATTATTCATTAAGGACATTGTGTAATTTAGGTTGGGGTGGGATAGTTTTGTAATGCACAATCTGTGCTAATAGTACAAACTTTTAGGACTAAATAGACATACACATAGGATGAGAAATGTAATTGTCCCCAAAATTCTGTCATTTTTTTCAATAATTTTTTTAATTTGGGGTCGATGTTGAGAGGAGGTTGAAATGACTTATGCACAAATGTATGAGTCCGAACGAGATTGGCGTTAGGACGCACCTGCCCCGAGAATTCAAATTGTTAGGACGCGCCTTGGACGTCCGGATGTGCCTTTTGAAACAAGCTAAATGGCGAGAATGTCAACCTAACTTAAACCTAGCGTCTGAACGCAAGAGTCCTATCCGGATGTGCGTATGGTTTATTAAAGGAGTCATCATCCTCCTCAACCTTCATGCTAATGTAAGTACAATCGCAAACCACCATTGAAGATGATCTAAGGTTTGAAATTTGAGATTTCCACTCCAAAAGTTGTCCAAATCATCTTTAAATCATCTCTAAATCTCTCCTACACTCCAGATTTTACCCTCCCTCTACTTAAAACTTATCTTTTGCTAAGAATCCTAAACTGTTATTTTCTTGAAAAACTCTAACTTCATTATTTTCTTCCTCAATGCCACCCGAGGAAGCGAACAGATGAAACCCAGGGTACTTCCCAAGCATCAAGAGTATTTTTTTTATCTCATCCTATTGGGTTGGAGCGTAGTCGACTTTTGGAGATTATAAGATGTAGGGTTGGTGAGATGGCAAAGGAAAATGGTAAGAATGATTTCTTAAAAAAAAATGAGAAGAAGGGCAACTCTTTTGATCAGTGAGTTTACTCCAATGTGGAGCAGATAGATTTTAAGAGTCTTAGGACCAAGGTGAGGAGAGTTAGTTTTGTTGTCGATTCTTTGGTGATATCTCGGGAGACCAAGCTGGATGTTGTCTTGAGGCCACAGTACACTTTCACTACAGTGTATATATGCATGATCTGGCTAGGGAGCTGATTGGAGATCCCCACTTCGTTTGGCTTCAGCGGGATAGAAACTGAACCAGGGGCAGTTGACTGATAAGTACGGCCCAGAAGGACACCACCAAGAATGCCTCCCTTCTTTTTGGGTATGTGGTAACATCTATTTGTATTGATAGGGGGCATCAGGGTGATAGATGATATGCTAAAGGAGAGGCACCCTCGAGTTCTAGATGGTACGACTTTGGTGAAGAGTTGTGAAGCTATGGGTAGAGTTGCAGCTCCATCCCTGTTGCTGATAAGCCTGGCGAGGAGGAGGAGGCTGATAAGCCTGGCGAGGAAGAGGAGGCAGATGAGCCAATAGATGATGATGAAGAGTAGAGAATGGGTGCATTGATGAAAGACCCTGTGGATGGAAAATCCGATAAAGATCTCTTGCTCCAGATTCTGGAGGAGTAGAGACATATTTAGGGTATCTAGCAGAGCATGACGAGATCTAGCAGAGCATGACAAGGTCTTGCACCCGCCTACAGCTTGGACCACAAGACGGAGTTGGCCCTTCTGCTTAGATGCTTTCTATTCTAGATGTTTACTATTTTTTTTTTTCTTTGAGTGTCTAGTTAAGTCAATGCCTCAGTCATATTTAGTGTGAGAACAAAGAGTGAATCCACACATAAACCCATAATCAGAAAATTGGTGCTGAAACTATACAGTTACTAATAAAATGTTACAACAAAGAGTAAATTTACACTTAACCCATAATATGAAAATTGGTTCTAAATTCATACAAATAATAATAAATTGTGACAACCTAGAGTGACACAATACAGAAATCTAAAATTTCGTTGAATCTTATTTATTTGTTTAAATAAATATGATATAGAAGAGGAGGAAACCCAGTTTTATAATTTTTTTTGTACACCAGTTGCATAGGGTGAATGTTGAGATATACATCACATGTACATTACAAGTTATCATACTGTGACTTCATAATGTGACACATACATATACTAAATATTTATGTTAAAAACTAATTGAATAAGAGTCGATGATAACTGATAGTGGAGAAAACTTATGTTTCATACAATATTTGATTCAAAATACGGATTGGGCATTTTTCCAAAAGTTTATTACATATGCAATTACTGGTATTTTTTTACCGATTTATGCAAACTATTTCATTTTGAAAATTGTAGACAAGAATACAAATCTATCAATGATCTCTTATATTGGAAAAAATCGTCGGCGATCCATCGATGCTTAATATGAAACTCTACTCTTCGTTACACTCCAAACAATCGTCTCCATACCGGTAAAAAAAATGTGGGACTTTGAGAAGATTCAGACTTGTTTTTCCTAAAGATTTGATATAAAAATCCTCCTGTTTTTGTTGAATTTTTGTTCAGAAATGGCGTGAATTCAGGAGAGCATTCAACTAGGTTTCCTATTCCAAGTATGATAACGATTAACGTGAACTAAAGGTTAAAATAGACATTTTTTAGACTACATAGACTTTTAATCAAAATTATTTTTAAAATGGACTTTTACTCGAATAAATTTATTTAGGTGTACCTGCTTCTGTTTTTCCCTTTTATTTATTGTCATAATAGGAATAAAATAATGTTATTGGGACCTAAATAACTGATTTAATTTACTGTCATAATAATGTATCAAGTGATGAAATCCTAATGAAAAAGTTTAAGAGTTACAGTCGCAACAGCACCATTGGACCACATCACTGTCACATCATAAGATTAACAAATTAAGTCAATTTTTTAAGTTTCTATTGTAATAACCTGCCAAAAGGCCTTGCAAGGGAGGAGGTACTATAACTTCATGTGTGGTATCCCACATCAACTCGAGAGGAGGAGTGACTGGGTTATATATGTGGTGTGCTCACCCTTAACTGTTGAAATGTATTTTCCAGGAAAAATCCAAAAGAACAAAACCGTGAATGTATGAGTACCTAAAACGGACAATATCTTAATAGTTAAGACGGGTCGTTATAGGTGGTATTAGAGCTAACTCTCCTACAGTCGGTAGGGGTAGACTCCACGTGGGCCTCACGAGGATGCGTGGCCTCTAAGGGGGTGGAGTATAATAGTTTGCCAAAAGGCCTTATGAGGTGAGCAGGTGTTATAACTTCACGTGTTGTATCACACATCAACTCAGGAGGGACAGTGACTAAACTATATATGTGGTCTACTCACTTTTAATTGTTAAAAGGTTTTTTCTAGAGGAAAACTCAAAAAAACAAAGCTGTGACTATATATAGACACCAAAAATAAATAATGTCTTGACAATTTGAACGAGTCGTTATATCTATAACATACTCATAACATTATACTTTCTTTTCTTGTTTATGTTGATGACTTAATTATTACCGGCAGCAAAATCCAACAGGCTGCTCAAAGATTCTGTCTTGAGGATTGGGTCTGTTACACTACTTCAGGTATTGACATGAAACCCCAGTTCAAAAAAATAAAAAAGAACTGAAACCCACTATCAGGAGTCTATTCTACACTCAGCACAAGTACACCCAGAGACCTCCTCAACCATACCTCCATGGACGGTGCAAAAGAAATTTTAAACCCACTTGCCACCACCGGAGGTTTCATTATTTAAGAAAATAAAATAACAAAGGTTTTGAACAAGGTTGTCAAACAGAACCAACAATGTGTCTTTTTATCTATTAAGCTTTGTCGAAATGATTTTTTTTTCTTTCTTTCCTTCTTTCTTTTTTTTTTTTTGAGTTCTTTTGGGGATAGTTAATATAACAGATATCATAAGCTAAGTGATACTACAATTATTTCTGTTCCTCATATGTTGGCTACCCAATGAATGTTGTTTTTTAGTTCTTTTTGTGAATTCAGATATGATAGATTTTTTTATTTTTTTTTTTGAACTTAATTCAGCTATGATAGATTACTATGTGACTTGTAGGTGTGATTGGATGAGTGTGTATGCTCACGTATGTTTTGATTGGTTAATAAATTATTTGGTGCAAGTTATACTAGAGAAAAAATTCAAGAAACACAATTGAACTTGCAAATATGAATTTTTACCTACTGAAAAAGATATAAAAGAAAAAATAAATAAAGCAGGGGAGTTATTCAAGCAGAAAACCAAATCAAAACCAAGCCTACCTACCCCCAAAAAATAAAAAATAAAAAAATCAAATCCGAGCTTTGAATCGGGTTCATTCCCACCTTTACCAACCAGCAGAAGAAAAACCAAAGATGCAGCCTTTTTTTATTTTTAGAAGAATAGGATGAGATTGAAACCTACAACTACATGTGGGCGGCAGTGAACCGAGCCACTCTATCACCTCAAGATGCAGCCATTCAAGTTATTACTTTGAGCGAATAAAATAAACAATAATCCATACAAAACAGTTGAGTCATGCATCCCAGGCATCAAAAACTATTACTTTGCCCACATGTAAACTAATTATTTATCATATGCAAGTAAATAAAAAATGGAAAATAGCTGTTTTATTGCAATAATAAAGTGATAAAATCTCAGTTTCATCTCTCCTCATAAAAACAATTGGGGGAACCGACTTACAAAATCTCCCAATGCAAAGACTCGATACCACATCCTTCCATAACATCCTCAACGAATCACCATAGATGTCCTAAACATGTCCCTGGAGCAAGTGTTCCCTCAAATAATATATCCCTCCCCGAACAAAAACAAAACAAATGAGGAAAATAGGACAAGAAAAGAAAAAAAAACTGTAATTGATTGAGCTNATATGTCCTATACATGTCCCTGGAGCAAGTGTTCCCTCAAATAATGTATCCCTCCCCGAACAAAAACAAAACAAATGAGGAAAATAGGACAAGAAAAGAAAAAAAAACTGTAATTGATTGAGCTTGTGTGGGAATATTCAAAACTCCCAGTGTTTTGCCTTTGAACACGCAGCAGTTGCAGTGGAGAATCACGAGTGTATGCACAATTTTTAGGAATATGTTCACAGATCACAAAAATATTTCTTTAATAATTAGGAGGACCAACATTATAAAGCACATGATAATGAGCACTGTAGCGCACATCACCATGCCCCCTTTTTTCTGAGTTCTCTCTGCCTGCAAATAAAATGCATTCCTCATGACATTAACAAGAGAAGATAGATAAAGAGAAGCACAGAGATGAACCATAGGTAGCAGAAATTTTAAACTAAAATTATATCTTGTGAAAGAGAAGCTTAAATGAAAAAGAAGAGTACGGACCTTCTGAAGCTGTTTCAAACCCTCCTCCACTGATGCGGCAACATTCTGAATGTTGTAATCAATCCTATCAACAATAGTGCCCTGCTTGGAGACATAATTTCAGTTAAGTCAACAAAAAATTGAACTGACCAAAAAAATAAATAAATAAAGCATTGAAGAACTTCCTGAACTGGTCATTTTGAATGTGTAGCTTCTGACCTGGTCAATCACAAGGACAGACAGATCCTTCATGATTTGGGCAAGTTCATTCACCGATTCCACTACCTAGAACCAAAAAGAATGTAGTCAACTAAAAACAAAGCATCATGTCAGTTTGTAAAGTCAGATCAATGAGCAAAAGCTTTTACTTACCTGTTGAATCTCTCTCTCCCTTTCTGCTGTGAATGCCTCACTTTTCTTTAGTTTGGCCATCTGGTGTTCATTAAATCCCTGAATAGATTAATTGGACGCCGACTTTAGATTGTGTGCTACACTGCTAGACAAATAAATTGTGTAAAACCACATATATCCAAATTTGAATTCAACTAACACAATTAAACGCAAGATAAGGTTAACTTACCATTTCATCCAATTCGTCATCCTCCATCCTAGAATGGTTTCTATTTAAGTTCATTTCTAGGTCCATCCCATCAGGACCCTAAGTCAGCAGGAAATATATTAGTAAACTTTCAGAGACATATGCCACCTGGACCACACAAGGGATAAAATACAATACATCTGATCATAAATAGCTGCTAACAATTAGAACAAATAAAAAACGGTGCAGAGGAATTACGAAGTTCATAAGTATGCATGACAAAGCAGTTCAAAAGGCCATAAACTGTGAAGTCAAAACTGTCACAATATTTCAAAGATGCTACTAAAAAATTGTCCAATAAACAAAAAAATGCTTCACATACCTCTTTCTGCTGCCGAAGGCGCTGCAAGTAAGTTGACTGTTTCTTACGAAGTTCCATTGAAAGGTTCTGAAGATCAGTGGCAAGAGAGCGCTGCCATAAGATTATCAAAAAATGAGCAAAGTTCATACAGGCTTAAATTTTATGAAAAAATGCTCCAACCCCAACATAGAATCACATGTTTAGAATGACTAAGATCGCATTTGGTGTGCTGACTAATTCTGAGCAAGTCAGATTGTATTTCCTTGCCTGTACAGAACAGGAGGGCAGTAGAGCAAGAAAGTAAAGGGTGAAAAAAGATAACCCTCTTGCTTTTTCTTAATTCCTCACTGATAAGTGTAAAGGATTAACACAATGTATTGAAGAGGAATAGAGAGAGGTCAAAAGCTTAACCTAGCTCTCATACATAAATTGTATTTATAGTTAACTGACAATAATAATAATAACACATACATCCTCTTACTATTAACAATTTACACATACTACTCTATTATTCTTAACACTCCCCCTCAAGCTGGACTATATATATCATATAATCCAAATTTGGAACAAATAGCTGTAAGACGCGTACGACTCAATGTTTTGGTAAATATATCTGCAAGCTGATCTTCAGATTTCACAAANATTTGGAACAAATAGCTGTAAGACGCGTACAACTCAATGTTTTGGTAAACATATCTGCAAGCTGATATTCAGATTTCACAAATGGAGTTGTAATCTCCCCAACTACTATCTTGTCCCGAATAAAGTGACAGTCAACCTCAATATACTTGGTTTTCTCATGAAACACAGGATTAGCAGCGATATGGATAACTGTCTGGTTGTCACAGAACAACTGTAAAGGAAGTTGAACTAGTAACCCAATTTCCTGGAGGAAGTGTAGTAGTCAAGTCAACTCACTCGTCGTATGTGTCATTGCCCTATACTCAGCCTCAGCACTGGATCTTACTACCACGGGTTGTTTCTTACTTTTTTCATGAGACAACATTACCTCCTAGGAAAGTACAATAACTAGTGGTTGATCTCCGATCAGAAGGAGAGTCAGCCCAATCAGCATCTGAGAAACNTGTAGTAGTCAAGTCAACTCACTCGTCGTATGTGTCATTGCCCTATACTCAGCCTCAGCACTGGATCTTACTACCACGGGTTGTTTCTTACTTTTTCATGAGACAACATTACCTCTTAGGAAAGTACAATAACTAGTGGTTGATCTCCGATCAGAAGGAGAGTCAGCCCAATCAGCATCTGAGAAACCTTCCACTCTAAGATGTCCATTAGCTTGATATAACAGTCCAAGTCCAGGAGTTTGTTTGAGATATCGCAGAATACGAGTAACTGCCTCCCAATGTGGTACTCTAGGACATCCCATGAACTGACTTGCTATACTAACTGCATAGGAAATATCCGGTCGAGTAATAGTGAGATAATTAAGNGTTTGTTTGAGATATCGCAAAATACGAGTAACTGCCTCCCAATGTGGTACTCTAGGACATNCTTTCCACTCTAAGATGTCCATTAGCTTGATATAACAGTCCAAGTCCAGGAGTTTGTTTGAGATATCGCAGAATACGAGTAACTGCCTCCCAATGTGGTACTCTAGGACATCCCATGAACTGACTTGCTATACTAACTGCATAGGAAATATCCGGTCGAGTAATAGTGAGATAATTAAGCTTCCCAACCAATCTACGATACCGACCCGGATTCTCAAACAATACACCATCATNAGGACATCCCATGAACTGACTTGCTATACTAACTGCATAGGAAATATCCAGTCGAGTAATAGTGAGATAATTAAACTTCCCAACCAATCTACGATACCGACCCGGATTCTCAAACAATACACCATCATCCATTAATAATTTATGATTCAGATCCATAGGGACATCATTCGGTCTACCACCCAGCAAACCTGCTTCCTCAAGCATGTCAAGTACATATTTCCTCTGAGATAAACAAATACCCTGTTTAGATCGAGTCACCTCAATACCCAAGAAATACCTAAATTTTTCCAAATCCTTAGTATGAAATGGATCCTGTAAAAATAATTTTAATTTGGCAATCCCCTCAAAATCATTTTCAGTAATCACAATATCATCGACATAGACCACCAATAGGACATACCCAACATCTGTCTGCCTATGAAACACAGAATGATCTGTTTGACATCGAAGAAGACCAAACTCTAAAACTGCATCTGAAAACTTACCAAACTATGCCCTCGGTGACTGCTTTAAACCATACAAAGATTTTTTTAACCGACATACACTCTCACTCTTACCCCCTGAACAATAAACTCAAGTGTCAAATCCAAGACTCAAATTGTGAACATAACAGACACAACCAAAAACCTTAGGAGTAAGGGAAAATAAGGGTTTACCAGGAAACAGAACAGAATATAGACTTTGTCCATTTAACACAGAGGAGGGCATACGATTAATAAGATGACAAGTAGTAAGAACAGTATCACTCCAATGATATCGAGGAACATTCATCTAGAATAACAAGGCACGGGTGACTTCCAACAAATGGCGGTTCTTACATTCAGCAACACAATTTTGTGGAGAGGTGTAAGCACAAAAAGTCTGATGAATAATGTAAGTTTTACTAAAATAAGCTGAAAAAAGATCAGATTCATATTCACGTGCATTATCGGAACGTAAAGTACGTATACGACAACCAAATTGAGTTTTTATTTCTTTACGAAAAGTCTCAAATATAGAGAATAATTCAGATCGAGCTTGCATTAAAAATAACCAAGTCACACGAGAATAGTCATCTATAAATGTCACAAAATAAGGATATTTATTACATGAAATATTCTTTATTGGACTCCATACATCAGAATNAAGTCACACAAAAATAGTCATCCACAAATGTCACAAAATAAGGATATTTATTAAATGTAATATTCTTTATTGGACCCTATACATCATAATGGACTAATTCAAATGGACTAGACACACGATTATTGACTCTAGACTGAAATGACACACGGTGATGCTTACTAAGTTGACAAGCTTCACAAGACAAAGACGACACATAACTACAACTAGGAACTGGGCACTTCAGATTCTGGAGAGAAGGATGTCCAAGACGACAATGCCATTGAAAAGGAGACAATGAGGTCTGTAAAGCTTGGGTAGATGAATTAAAGTCAAAGTAATATAGGCCACCAGCTTCATGTCCCGTACCAGTCATCTTCTTCGTCTTGAGATCCTGAAAGACACAATAAGNAGGTAATATAGGCCACCAGCTTCATGCCCCGTACCAGTCATCTTCTTCGTCTTGAGATCCTGAAATACACAATAAGAAGGATAAAAAATTACAGAATAGTTGAGAGAACGGGTAATCTTGCTAATGGAAAGTAAACTAAAAGGAAACTAAGGAACAAATAACACGGAAGATAGAGACATATCAGGACTCAAGTGAGTAGTCCCCAAACCTGAAACTTTAGAACAAGTACCATTAGCAAGAGTAACACTACTTGTGAAAGTAGCAGACTGATAAATAGAAAAAACGTTAGACGCACCAGTCATGTGGTCAGAGGTGCCATAATCTATGATCCAAGGACTGCGAGTAGAGGACAATAAACAAGTGGAAGCAGTACCTAACTGGGAAAAAGTAGCAATGGAGGGAGATGAAACAGCTTGTTACTGAGACAGGAACTGAGCATACTCCTCTCAACCCAGTGTAATAGTAACCGACCTAGTGTCTATTGGAGCTGACCGAGGTATGGAAGCAACAACAGAGGTGTCATCCTGATAAGAAGCCTAATTAGCAATACCAGAAGGTTTTCCATGTAAATTCCAACAGAAATCAACAGTGTGTCCTCCACGGCCACAGTGAGTACAGGAATGGGATCCACCACGACCTCCTGTATGACCACCCGTACGACCTCCGCGACCACCACGNAATTAGCAATACCAGAAGGTTTTCCATGTAAATTCCAACAGAAATCAACAGTGTGTCCTCCACGGCCACAGTGAGTACAGGAATGGGATCCACCACGACCTCCTGTATGACCACCCGTACGACCTCCGCGACCACCACGTCCACCTCGATGACCATCACTATAGCTATTAAGAACTACAAGAGCTGAGCGATCAATGGAGACACCATAATCAATGACTGAAGGAGTAAACAGTGTAGCACACTGTAAACGAGAGAAAACCTCCAGCAGTGATAGAAGACTAGATCCACCCAAAATCTGAGAACGAATAACCTCATATTCAGGTTTCAATCCTACCAAAAATCGAACAACATTCAGGTCCTCGTGTTGCTTTTGCCAAACTGCTGCATCAGTAGTAAACGAATGATAAATTTTCATCTCCTCACAGACTCCCCGAACATGAGAGTAATAATCCGCAAGGCTCAAAGTACTCTGCTCCAACCAGAAGTACTCCTTCCACACCTCATACGCACGGGTAAAATTACCTGTACTAGAATACATAGTGGCCAAGTGATCTCATATCTCTTTGGTAGTATCAAGATAGAGCAGAGAAGAGCTAATACTAGGCTCTATGCTATTCAATAATAAAGAAATAATCTGAGCATCCTCTTGTTCCCACTGATCATACCCAGGAGTGTCCTCCTTGGGTTTAGAACCTACCAGATATTTCTTAAATCCTTTGCCTC